AAAGTAAAAATCGATGACAACAGAAAATACGAATATGATAATAACTAATGATTTCGACTCGTAGTTTACGCTTTATTAACAGAGTGTGGAATGGTAGCTATTTTGTACAAACTTCAAAAGCGGAAATATTTCTGTATAATCCCATATTATTCTAAAACAAAGTCGTGAAGTCCCAAAGTCGCCGTGACGTTTTCCTCGTCTACGCTAATGAAATATGGGGCTGAACGAAAGGAAATCGTGCCTCAGAAGCTAATAATCGCAAGGTCTTTAAAAATAAAAAAAAAAATATGCCTCAAAACGTGCCGTACCTTTCAGTTAATACTCAGTCAGATAGGAACTCCGGATGAATTTGTAATGTTTTGTTGTTGCTTTAGCTAGCAGGCGGTCGATGTATTGAACCCACGTTGGCTTCTTCCCAGCTGTCACGCAGCGCTTGATCGACAAAGTCACGCAGTCAGAATCACCATTCTGAGAGAATAAAACTGTTTTTGTCGAAAAGTGAACCTACCAACTGAGTATCTACCCTTTCTGTATTGAATGAGATAATCGAAGGAGCGTAATGGTAGAGTAACAGAGTTTATGAAAACGAAATCTTGGTTCGTCTTGCTCGCCGCGCACGCGAAAATAATTCTGGGTACTGAAGCATGACAATCATGTGATTATCTGCAGTCGCGCTGACCTGAAGAGACAGATAAAGATTCCAAAGTTACCTTGTGGTCCAACATTGACGACGACAGACTACTGTGGATTGAGGTAGGGTCAAGGAAATTAGTTTACTTCGGACGAAATTGAGAATATTTAATAATTTACAAATAGAGAAGCCTTGACTGTGCTCTGTTCTGTAGTAACGCACGCAGGAAGCAGCCAGAGCACGAAAGAAGTGTCTCTAATATAGGATCTGAAAGTGAAATGTTCAGTGAAATTCGGCCGAATTGTGGCTCACAAAAACACGCAAGTTTTTTCACATGATAAACTGAAAACGAACTGTTAAAGGCGAGTGTTTTATGAATGAACGGCAGCCGGAACATGAAGATCGCTCGGGATGACAGCGCCGCAAAACTCGGCTGCAGTTCCACTCAACACATCGGAAAGGATATACGAGTGTTAGCGGTGTTTAATTTTATTACCTTACGTAAGCTTGCAATCTGACTGAGTGTGAAAGCCTTTAAAACTCGGACTGTCCATTTGGTTTTCTCTTTGAGGATTGTCGTCTCTGCTCACGTTATAATAACTTAAATTTCGACGCCTGCCATTTTTACAAACCTTTGTTTGGTACTTCTGTTGCTACTTGGTGCCGTCTTTCAAGTTTGTTTATTTTTATTTTTGTCATATGAATTTAATTTCAGGATGCGGATTTTGTGGTTTCTATCAAAACTGGTTCTTCTGTCATCAGTAACATTGGCTATTAAACAGAATTCTAAACCCAACATCATATTCATATTGGCAGATGATCTGGTAAGTATAGTGGATTAGTTATGTAAGTTTCCTGATTGTAAGAAAGATAGCCTGCTCAATTCTCATACAGTCGTTTTGAAACCTAGCGTTGGGGTCATCTGTGCATGTTTTATTTTGGGGTAAGACATTTGACTTTTACAGTACCATTTTTCACCTGAAATTGTTTCTTTGACCATTGTTTCACTTTCTGTTGCTCTTTTAGGGATGGGATGATGTGAGTTTTCATGGTTCTGAGCAGATTCCAACTCCAAACCTGGATGGACTGGCTAGTAGTGGGGTAATTCTCAACAACTATTATGTGCAAAGTATTTGTACACCAACAAGAAGTGCTATAATGACAGGCCGATATCCCATCCATACAGGTGAGTGTTTAGAAAATTTACTTGCTCTAATTTGAGCATTGTTTGCCAGTCCACTTTTTTTTTCCCTAGGAACACAGTAGTATCTCATTATTTATATCACTCCTCTGGTATTGCTAGGTTTCTGTGTTGTTTGTTTGTTTGTTATTTTCATGAGTACTGTTTTGAAGGGTTATGCATCCTTTTCAGGTATATATGTTGTATGCTATGTTTTCTATTTTAGGGGAAGATTATTGTCAGATTTTCAGTGTGGTAGACTTACATGTAGGACCATGTTGACTGTTCTCAAACAATGCATTAGCTTACATTATTGTATGGCTGACAACACCCATGGGAAAGATGAAGCAAATCTTGTGTTCTAATTGGCCATGTGAGCCCATATTTGCTGCTTGGGATTGCCTGCATTGATCCCATGCAAAAAAAAAAATTGTGTGAAGCAGGCTTACAAAGGTTATAATTTATGCACAATGTCAGGAGTTGTAAAAAGCAATAGAAGACAGTAACAACAAAGAAAACACATTAAACAAGTTTCATGACTTAAATTTGGTACAAAAAGCAACTCTCTTTCCCAGAACTCAAAAAAGCAAGTCATTTGTGATTCTTATTAAACCAAAATCTTTTTGCCATTATATGATAAATCCTTGATACATTTATCAATTAAAGCTTTAACTTCCTCCTCCCCCTCGAGGCAAAAATTTTGTTAAATGTCCCACCTATTTTTGTGGTAAAAGGCATAATCAGAAACAGTAACTTTCTTCATGTTGACCAAGCTATAAAACCTACACCCTGCATCCTTTTTTTCCCTAGCCATTTCATAGCTGAAGTGAAATATTTCCCTTAAACACATACTTAATTAGGGATAAAATACTAGTAATCTTCTAGAAAGACTCAACATTTAATTTCAGTTCAAATTTCTCACCCTCCCCTGGGTACGGACAACGGTGATATTCTCTCCGGTTGAAGGGGGGGGGAGATGTTGAAGCTTGAAATTGATCAACACATTATTGACAAAGCTTGTTCAGTAAATATGGCTGGATATTAAAATTGTAAAAAAGGAACTCAGTTAACATTGAACCATCTTGGCCTCAGGCTTGGTAAGCAAGGCACATTTACATTGAAAGACAACATAGTCACGTAGAAAGTACATTGCATTATTAATGTACTCAAAGTCATTTCAACCAAACCACATGCAACAAGACTTAACTTGTTCTCCTGATTATCTCATAGGAATGCAGCATGATGTCATATTAGCTAGTCAGCCCTATGGCCTTGGTTTGAACGAGACTCTTTTGCCTCAGTACCTAAAAGAACTTGGATATGCTACACATGCTGTTGGAAAGGTAATAGTTAGACCATAACAATTTAAAAATTCTGCTTAATAACTTTACTGAAGCTCTAACAAGTTTTACTTCATTGGTGGCTAAAACCACTTGGTGGGAAAAAAGGGAATGTAAACTCCCATCTACTACTGTGCTGCTAACTTTGGGGAATGCTACATCATAAATTTTTGGGAGAGGGTAAAAAAAAAATGGTAAAAATATACTCCTGTTATGTGTTTCCTCCTTCCCTGGCTTTGCATCCTTCTCAAAATGCAATGCAAGCTGCATAATGGATATGGCTTATTTTCATTAATTTTTTTCCAGTGGCATCTTGGTTTCTTCAAAACAGACTACACTCCCACAAGGAGAGGATTTGACACCTTCTTTGGTTATTACTGTGGAAAAGAAGATTATTGGGACCATTCAAATCGTGAGACAAATGGATGGGGATTAGATCTTCACAACAATACAGAGGTACATGTAAATCTGTTTATTAAGAACTGGTTTATTTAAATGATGAAAAGGAAGTAACATGCATGTAAACCAAAGAGTGTCAGGTATTTATGCAAACCTATGGTAAATTGTGAACCCTTTCACTTCGGAGATCTAAATGTAAATTCTCTCCACTGTCTACCTTACAATTTTTTTAATTTTAGCCATTAAAAAATTGGTGTCAGAGCAGATAACATTGACTTATTGATGTTTCTTTCTTCTCAACACCTTTCTGCCCAAAACTGTATTGGAATTGTAAGGAGATATTCAATTTTGGTCACACCTGGGGGAAAAAAGGTTAAATTTTCAAAATCATTCATTTTGTGTTGTAGAGAAAAGGAAGGAGAAAGTTTCTCCCTGAAAATATTCGAAGAGTCCCATCTGCAGGTCTACTGTACCAATTTTATCCCCTCCCCTGGAATGACAAAGAAGTGATTTGTCCCTTGGAGTTTTCTTTCTCTAACAAGGGTGCAGGTGATGCAAATATAGGAAAAAAAAACATCAATGTAGGAAATGTTGATGTAAGAATTGTAGCAAAAACAGGAAGGATAATTACTCTTATGACCTTAAGAGTGGATGGATTGAAAAGGAATCCTTACCCCCCTCTCCCTAATTATGCACATTTTCAAATTTACATTTCCTAAGTAGTAAATTTATTGACCTGTAAACCTTCCTCCCTTTCACATACAAATTCTCATTTCCTTCTGTGCATTCCTCTTTGTAATGTGTTTTGCTATCATTTACCATTTCCACTCTGCCTCCATCTCCTTATCCCTCACTTGTCTTACCTCTTCTATGCTTTTTCTTGAATTTTTACAGTGTTTCCTCATCTCCATTTCTTAAATTTGAGTATTTTCTTATAAAATTGTCCTCTTCTTTCAACCCTTTGACCCTTTAAAGTGACTAGAATCTAATTTCTCCTTACAATATCCCTCTTAGTCAACCATCAAGGTCACGAGAATAAAGAAAATGATCACCAACTTAACAATTTAACTCTTGACTGTTAAACAAATTCTCCTTGTCAGCTCCTTTGGAATGTACAGAGAACAGTATGGAGAAGATGCATACTGATTCAAGGGTGTAAAGGGTTGATATCACAACTGTTCAAAGTGTTTATTTACATGCACCTGTACTATTTACACATCTCTTTTCAGCATACATTTCAGCCTGTCTGGACAGAATGGGGCCAGTACAGTACTGATATGTTTACAGAGAGAGCCATAGACATCATTAAAAAGCATGACCCTTCCAAGCCATTGTTTTTGTATCTTCCTTACCAAGCTGTCCATAGTGCAAATTACATTCAGCCAATCCAGGCTCCTCCAGATGAAATCAAGAAGTTCTCCCACATCAAAGATGAAAACAGAAGAATCTTTGCAGCAGTGGTTTCAATCCTTGATCAGAGAGTAGGACAGGTACACACAACGCTTGTTTTATTTATACTGTCTTGTTTTTTAAGTTGCTTTGAATTTTCATATTTCTTTTTGTTTGATTAAGTGTAGGTTTTAGGTGCTTTTAATACTTTGAAACTTGCAATTAAATTGGCTTTGGGCGAAAGAGTTGGTGATTTATAGTAGGTCTCTAATGAGTTTAATAAAAATCTCTATTGCAGCTTGTTGATGCACTCAAAGGGAGTGGTTTGTACAACAATTCAGTGATCGTCTTCTCGACAGACAATGGTGGTCCTGCAAATGGTTACGATATGAACATGGCTTGTAATTTTCCCCTGAGGGGCGTAAAATGGACGTTGTGGGAAGGTGAGTCGAAGTATCCTTCGACCCTTTACACCCTAACATAAGTATGAATATTCTCCATACAGTCTTCTTTGTATTCCTTGGCGTATTGACAAGGAGAATTTGTTCAACAATCCAGAGCTGCTTTAGTTGGTGATTATTTCCTTGATTTCTGCGACCTTAAAGTTTGATTCAGGGATGATGTTGAAAGGAAAATTTGATGCAAGTCACCCTACGGGGTTTGAAGAGTTACTCGTTTGTGGTACATGCATACCGTTGGAGTGGTATGCATTTTTGTAGTTTGTGTGTAAATTGATTGTAAGTCGTCAATTGTCTCAATAGGAGGCGTTCGTGGCGCGGGATTCGTACACAGTCCTTTACTGGCCCAGAAAGGCCGAGTAAGCATGGATTTGATGCACGTGACTGACTGGCTTCCCACACTGTACAGTGTAGCAGGAGGTGACATTCATAAACTTCGTAATGTGGATGGCTATGATATGTGGGACACGCTTTCTCAAGCTTCTCTATGTCCCCGCGAAGAGATTCTTCTCAACATAGACCCTGTCAGAGGTGACTCGGCTTTACGGTTCAGGCAGTGGAAGCTTCTTGTTAATATAAGTAAGTTTTATTGTACGGTATAATGTCAAACCGATTTTTCTTTGTAACAATTCTCTGTTTATGCGAACTGAGTGAAATAAGACTAAATTTGAAGAGTTTGAGCTAGCAGTTGTCTGTGGATGTCACTGAGTCAGCGACGTCGATAGAAAAAGTGTGATTTAGTATAATCAACTGAGTTGATAACGTAAATTGGCCACCGTAAAGAGTTTCAAAGCTGACG